GAAGTCCTGGGCCGCAGGACACAGGGAAGGGTCGTGTGAGATGTACCTTGCCTGAAAGAGGGGATCCTTCCTCTTAGTAAGCCTCACCCCTGAGCCTGGGTGGTGGCCATTGAGTAGTGTGTGGAGTCCCTGACAGGTCCTGCAAGGCCCTCCAGCCCTCTGGCTACCCACTCACCACACCCCACTGCCTCCCCACCCCATCACTGCTGAAGCACACTCAAGCCCTGGGCTCCAAGCCACACAGTCTTGTTTGGTTTCTGCCTTCCTATTCCTTCACCCTCATCCATGGCTTCTGGATGGCTTCTCACAGCCCCACGCCCATGAACATCGGTATCCTCGTGTGAAGTCTCAACCCCAAAACTCTCCTCCCAGCCTGTGTGTTGCTTCCCAACATCTCCAGCCTGGCTCGGGGGTCTGCTCCTCTGTGGGCTTTTCCTTTCCCGGACCCAAAGAGAAGCAAGGCAAAGGATGGTTGGAGGGAAGCAGGTTTGGGCCAAATGACCCTCGTAGCACCACCACAGGTCCGCAGAGTATCACCTAAAAGCCCTAGATACGCCACCACTAATACGAGGTGATAAGATCCCACCTCAGCAGGACCCGCCACTCCCCATCCTCCTGCTCACAGGGTCTCCCTTTCCCATAAATCCCACAGGAGCCCCCAATCCTTCCACACCCTCCCACCACCACCATATACGCACAAATCACCACACCCAATAAAAGTCGCCTTTCCTTGGTTTCCTGGCTCCTCATTCCTGACAGTTAGGTCCTGCCTGCTGTACTAATCAACACCCTGAAGCCCCCTCCTTGCCCCTCCCCTGGCAGAGTCACCCAGGCAATCAGCTAGGGCTGAGTTGGGGGCATAAGGTCTGAGTTCATCCTGACTCTCTTGGGTCTCTAGTTCCAGAACAGGGACATGGAACAGCACAGACCTCAGAAAGGGCCTGAATGCCAGGTGACCAGTTGGTTTCTCAGAGCTCCTAGGAGACCATGGGTCAGGCAGACAGCTCTTGTTCTGCCCATAGACTGAGCTGACGCCTGAGCCCCCAGGGGAAGGAGGAGGCGTACATTTAAAGACACTCGGGGAAGCCAGCTGGCTCTCTCTGCTCCTGCCTGTCTGTGCTGGCATGAGGATCAGCTCCAGGGTAAGTGTGGAGAGTAGAGGGGCTGGGAAGATGAGGAGGCGTGGGAGATGTGTGTGGCAGTGACTTAGACTCACCCCTGCTACCCCTCCCAGGGTCCCCATCACACCACTACCCCAGCCCACTCTGCTGCCTCCTTAGCCTCACCCCCAGGCCCAGGTCTTCTCAGAAGGAAATTGTTTTCTGTGTCCCTCTTCTTAGAGACTGGGTCTCATCCATCCCCCTTCCCATCATCCTTTTCCTTTCTGCGCTGTAATTTCTTCTGTAGGAGGACATCCAGGTACCTCTTTTGAGGCTGATGACAGGGATGGGGACTATGGCTTTGGAGTTCCATCCATCTCTGGCCTGATTCCCAAGTTTCAGCTTTATGGAAGCTCACCTAAACTTATTTTGACTCAGACTTTGGTTCTCTATTAGAAATCCAGACCCCTGAGCTCAGCCTCACAGCCCCATGCCCACCAGCTCAGCATCCCTGGTCTTTGGGTGGTGCCTCCCCCTCAGATTTTGTCCCTAGAGTTGAACTAGAGAGCATAATTCAGAGCAGAACACCTTGGGTCTTCTCAGCTAGACCCTAAGCAATTTGGGCACTGAAGTCACGTCTAAGGCATATATGAAGCCTGAAGCCTGAGTGAGTGACCAGCAGAGTGACTGGGATACAACAAATGTCAAAAAATAGAGTATTAGTAATAAATAGATAAAGAATAGATAAAGGGCCATGTCCTTTGCTGTCAGACCTAAACCAACATGGTACATGCTAGAGAACACGCGCTACACCGAAAACGCGTGGTAAAATATAGGGTGTTTTTCCCCTCTTAGTTTTTAACATGATTCTGGGAATTCTAGTTTATTAAATATATATATGTAAATTTCAGCTGTTAAAATCAGGGTGGGGGTCAAGTAATTCTGCTCGAAATGCCCAAGAGAATCTCCTGAAAACACTTTAACAAGAGTGTACAGAACTGTGTAGCCTCAGTGAAGCACACATGGACACACTCACAGCTCAGGAGATGCTCACTGTTTGGCTGCTATGTTCCGAGTGTGACCCAGCTGTCTGTATTTGCCCTCAGGAATACAAATGGAGACAGGATGTCTGTTCCCATGGCCCTGTACAAATCACACCTCACAACTGCTGAGATGCTCAACAAGACTTGAAAGCACAGGACATTGTAGTTTAGGGTTGGTGAGATGACTCAGGATAAAACCGCTTTTCTCACAAGCCTGATGCCTGAGTTCCATCCCTGGACCCCACAGTGTGAGGAGAGAACCAGCTCCTAAAAGATATCCTCTAACTCCTTCATGCATGCCAGGGCACACACACACACACACACCCCACAACACAACACACATCATACACACACAACACAACACACACCATACACACACAACACACACATCATATACACACCATACACATAATACACACACATTATATAAATACTCATCATACACACACGTGTGCACATACAATCACATACACACACCATACATACTAATTTTTTTAATTTTGGAAAAAAAAACACCACACTTTGTCACCAGACAGAAAGACAGAGTGTGGTCAAGATTTTGATTCTCCAGAGACTACTCTACAGGTTTAATGAAATCCCAATTTTTCAAATTACAACAAGGTAATTTTTGAAAATTAGCAAAGTGAAACTTTTTATCCCTTAAGTGGGGAAATTAAATAAGAATAATGAAAAACTTAAAAGCGCTTGTGAAAGTGTTGCATTAGGAACCTAACAATTCTATAGTGATCAAAATGGCTCTGGATCCTAACAACTCAGTGATATGAAGCAACCAGATTTAAAGGTTCAAAGGTATGATCCAAACATAAATTTCCAGCCGGGCAGTGGTGGCGCACACCTTTAATGCCAGCACTCGGGAGGCAGAGGCAGGTGGATCACTGTGAGTTTGAAGCCAGCCTGGTCTACAAGAGCTACTTTCAGGACAGGCTCCAAAGCTACAGAGAAAGCCTGTCAAAAAGAAAAATACATTTCCCTTGAAGAAATGAGATGAAAAGATGCTCAGAAAGCACAGACTAGACGTGGTGGTGCACATTTGCCATCACAGCTAGCTGCAAAAGATAATTAGGAAATTTCCTGAGCAGGCAAACCCACTAGCTCGGAAAGAACCTTAGCAACTGATCAGCAAATGTTTATGGGTGGACGGAGTTTCCACTGGCGCTAGTGAGAGTGTAATCGTGGTGGCTGTTGCTCCACATGCTGTGAACGCCCTAGGAACCACTAAGTTGTGCACTTGAAGTGAAGAAGTCCTGAAGCGAGTCATTTACAGTGAACATTTTGAAAATTGTGTGGTGCTGGTATGAGTACAAACGAGACAGCACTACATCAAAAATAACAATTAACAATAAAAAAAAAAAAACAACTAGAACACCTCAGGAAAAGAGAGATAAGTCAGTGTTTACAAGCACCTGCTGCTCTTCCAGAGGACCCGAGTTTAGTTCCCAGCACACATGTTGGGTAGCTCCAGCTCCAGGAGATCCAGCACCCTTATCTAGCCTCCTCAAGGACCTGTATACTTGACAGGTAATTGGAACAACAACCATGTTGCTATCTGGGTAAAACCAAGTTAGATTATCACAGGTCGTGAGCCAAATGTATTTCATGCTGGTCAGAACTCATAAACACTTGGTTGGAAAGATTGCTCAGTGGACGTCATGGTCTGAAAGAGCAATGTCTCCCATTTGAACACTTGGTCCCCTATTGGTGGCACCATTTGGGGAGATTATAAAACCTTTAAGAGGTAGAGCTTTGCTGGAAGATGCTATGTCACTGGGGAGTGGGCTTTGAGGGCCTATGTCCTCACTTTGCTTCCTGCTCCCTCTCTCTGCTTCCTGTGTGCTGGTGAGGAGGTGACTTCAGCTTCCTGCTCCAGCTGCCTGATGCCAAGCCTTCCACCACTGTGGCTCTGTCTGCAATTGAGAACTAGAATAAACTTTCTCTCAGAAGCCTCTCTCTCTTTTGCATGGTGTTTTAACACAGCAACAGAGATTAAGTACAAAAGTATAAAGTGTTTGCTGAACAAACATGAGAACCAAGACGGTTGGATCTCAGGTACACCAAAGTCAGAAAATATAGTCAAACAGTGAACAACCTGTCTCAGGAATTAGGTGAAAATTTGTACAGAAAGACACCTGGTGTTGACCTCCAGACACTCAGGCAAGCACACCAACACAAACATTCGGACACAAACATACGAAAAATAAAACTCATACACAAAGAATAACAGAATATATTCACTATCTGTTTGGCCTTTGAACAAGACAGTATTTTCTATGCTAAAAACAAAGGAACTAATTTACAAAAAAGATATATCAATGGAATTAATTTTATATGTGTAGACTTTTAGTCTTAGTAATAGCACAAAGTGAAAATGCTGACAAGATTAATAAACCATGTCTCAAAAATACATAATGACGAACATTTAAATTACTAGGAAATACCAAGTTCCTGATAGACAACAAAATCAACTAAACATGTCAGCTAAAAATGTCACTAACAGCCACCACTGAGTCAATGATGAAATCCATTCAACTTCTCTGGAAATCCACTTCATACATGAAAAAAGTGTGACTATCACTTGACCCACAGATTCTGTATGCAAAATCTGCTCCCATGATATATTAGAAATGCAAGAAATGACCTATAAAAAGATGTGTAGCTCATTAAATAATAAGCCTAAAAGGCTTCTTTCTTCTTCTAGAAATATTGGAGACTAATGAAAATCCAAATACCCAGTCTAGCCTGGTAAGGCTGGGGCAGGTTCTTGCAGAGCCTTTCAGGGACTGAAACCAGGCATCCCACCCCTCCTTCTCCCTGGAGCCACCCTGTGTCCTTGGGCATCATGTCAGGGTGGAGCAATGGCACCTACAATGAGTCCTACACCAGCTTCCTCCTGGTGGGCTTCCCAGGGATACAAGAAGCCAGAGCCCTCCTGGTGCTGCCCTTCCTCAGCCTCTACCTGGTGATCCTCTTCACCAATGCCCTGGTCATCCACACGGTGGCAGACCCTGCACCAGCCCATGTACCTGCTCACCGCCCTGCTCCTGGCTGTCAATGTCTGCACTGCCACCACCGTGCTGCCCGCCATGCTGTTCAGCTTCTCCACACGCTTCAACCGCATCTCCCTCCCTCGGTGCCTGGGACAGATGTTCTGCATCTACTTCTTCATTGTCTTTGACTGCAACATCCTCCTGGTCATGGCCCTGGATCGCTATGTGGCTATCTGCTACCCTCTCCGCTACCCAGAGATAGTGACAGGACAGCTACTGGCTGGCCTGGTAGGGTTGGCAGCCACCAGGAGCACATGCATCGTTGCTCCGGTGGTGGTGCTGGCCTCCCGAGTGCGCTTCTGCCGCTCAGATGTGATCCATCACTTTGCCTGTGAGCACATGGCCCTGATGAAGCTCTCCTGTGGGGACATCTCACTGAATAAGACCGTGGGACTCACTGTTCGCATCTTCAACAGAGTCCTGGATATGCTTCTGCTAGGAGCCTCCTATTCCCGCATCCTCCATGCCGTCTTCAAGATCTCATCAGGTGGAGCACGGTCTAAGGCCCTGAACACCTGTGGCTCCCACCTGCTGGTCATATTCACTGTCTACTCCTCCACCATGTCCTCATCCATCGTCTACCGCGTGGCCCGCGCTGCCTCCCAAGACACACACAACCTGCTCAGTGCTTTCTACCTGCTGCTCCCATGTCTGATCAACCCCATCATCTATGGGGCCAGAACCAAGGAAATCAGGCAGCACCTGGTGACTCTGCTCCAAAGGACTCAGCAACAGGTCTCCACTGAGAAGCCCCAGTCCCTGCCCTCACATAGAGAGCTTCCTGGCTGATTGTCCAGGATTTGTGGGCCTCAAAATCACTCTCACTATTTAGTGAAGGAGGGCGTTCGTGTGAGTGAGTCATCTCTGGTATATTTTGTTCATGGCTACCTGATCTTTTCATGACAAAGTTCTGTTCCATAGCCTCAGCTGTCTAGAACTCCTTGAGTTGCCCAGGATGACCTGGAACTCAAAGCAATTCTCCTTTCTTAGCTTGCCAAATGTTAGTGTTAGAGGCGTGAGCCACAGTGCCCAGTTTATCTGCATTCATCTTTGAGAATCTTATATCTGCTTCCGGAAAACACCTACCCATTCTGAACTACTACCAACAGAGCAAGAGTCCGTCCCTGGCTTGACATTCTCTCCCCGTCCCTCTGCATATGTTCCAGTCATTCATTCATTTGCACACCCATCAAATGTTTATTATGCATACATCATTGTAACTCAATGATATCAAAGAAAGAGAAAATTTTGTCCCTCTCCAGGAGATCCCCACGTCAGCAATCTATGGTGTGATAATATTCAGTGGTAGTTTCTGACATTCACTGCAGGTAGGAACGCCTCACAGAGAACCCGGTGGTTTGAATGAGAGCTCTGGAAAGGCAAGGCTAAGGAAAATGAAACCTATTCTAGGATAGAGTTGTAGACTCTGCTGTCTCCCTGATGTGGGTGATAGAGGGCTGTGGATGGGCAGGAGTGGCTACCATAGAAGACCTCATCTGTGATGGGAAGAAGTTTGAGCTTTTACTCCAAGCAATATTCACTGAAGAATCCAAAGCAAGGAGGTCCGTCTCCTACTGTGCACCATCACCGTGCTGCCGTGGGAGAGTGTCTGATGCAGTGGCCAAGCAAGCTCCTAGGAGGCTGTTACACTAGTGCGGAGCGGGGAGAGGAGACTGGGACGGCAAGTGGAAGAGTTGTAGTGAGGCCAGGAATGAGAGAGACCAGGTTGAGGAGAGCTACAGCCAGGTGTGGGAGAGACCAGGATGAGGAGAGCTACAGCCAGGCGTGGGAGAGACCAGGATGAGGAGAGCTACAGCCAGGCGTGAGAGAGACCAGGAGGGAAGCTGGGTTTGTATATCAAGGTCAGAAGCAGAAACAAGGTGAATGGCTTTACCAATGCAAGGGAAGAGGCTGTGACCAGACTGGAGCAGTCAATGGATCAGGGAGGACTGATGGATCCATCAGCTCAGCACTGTCCAAGTAGCTGATGAATGTTTCCACTTTGGTTGTTTCTTTCTCCAGGTCCTGGGAAGATGGCCCTGGCCTTCGATAGACTGGATATTTCGAGGAAAGGGATGAGGTGTGGCTCAGTGGTGGAGCACATCTTCAGCATGCCCAGGGCAGGGGTCTAGCTCAGAACGCATGCACACACACACACACACACAGAAAGAGAGGGGGGGGGGCTACGTGAGACAGTCACTCTCAATGCAGTAAAACGGGGGGGGGGGGGATTGAAAAACCACCATGATGAATTCCCATGGGAAACTTGACCCTCTCTGAGGAGAGGATGGAGTTGGTGTGAGGGAAAAGTACAGGGAGGGGGGAAGAAGGACAGGAGGGGGAACTGGGATTGATATGTAAAATGAATTAATACAATTATAAAAAAGAAAAAGAAAAACCACCATGAACCTAGCTGAGGATGGAGAGAAGCTTTCAGGAGGTAAATAGAAAACCATAAATGGCCGGGCAGTGGTGGCGCATGCCTTTAATCCCAGCACTCAGGAGGCAGAGGCAGGCGGATCTCTGAGTTCGAGGCCAGCCTGGTATAAAAGAGCTAGCTTTGGGACAGGCTCCAAAGCTACAGAGAAACCTTCTCTCAAAAAACCAAAACGAAAAAAAGAAAAAAGAAAACCATAGATGAAAGGAAAGAAAGAGAGGATGTGGCTAAAGTTTGCAAAAAAGAAAGAACATGAAACCCAGGAAAGGAGAGACTAGAATATGAGTCTTCGTTCAGACACTCACAGGGGGCAAGAGCAGAAAGCAGCCTTGGAATCCTCCAGCCCACCTGAGAACTCTGCCTCCTGTTCTGTTAGTTGAAGCAGAAGCCTTCAGTGATGTGCAGCCTGCAGCCAAAAGAGCAGATCAGGAAAGGCACATCTTTGCAAGAGGGACCTTTGCAGTTTTGAAAGAGGAGATGGAGGCTGAGGCCCTGAAGCTGTGCTGGGTCTCCAGGGACCCCGCGTCCACACAGCTTCCTCCCAACTCCCAGCAGATAGCATGAGAGTCAGCAGCCCTGGGGTTGAGTCTGACCTCCCTGGACAAGAGGACAGATGAGACAGGAGTGTGCTGAGCGAGTGGAAAAGTTCCAGGTCCTGGGGGTCAGCATGAAATATAAAAGTAGGCATGGGAGTGATGATCCAAGGAAGGAGCTTGTTTGTGGGCTGTATGGAGGTAAATGACCACTAGACAAAGATGTTAAATAGATCACTGATGGATCACATGCCGGATCGCTTTTAGGACCCTGCCCTACCAAAACCTGCAGATATTCAAACTGCTTATGTAAGATGGTATAGTAATCACATGTAACCTCCACTTGTTCTCCCATATACTTAAATAATTTATAGATACTAATGAGACTTAATACAGTGTAAAAAACTATATAAATAATTGTTATGACGTGCATTTAAGAAATCATAAAGGCAGTGGTGGCGCATGACTTTAATCCCAGCACTCAGGAGGCAGAGGCAGGTGGATCTCTGAGTTTGAGTCCAGCCTGGTCTACAAGAGCTACAGAGAAACCCTGTCTCAATTTTAAAAAAAAAGAAAGAAAAAAGGAATCATAAAAGTAAAGATCTATTTATGTTCAATACAGATGCAATTCTTAGAACTACTTTTAATCTATCGTTGGTTGAATTATGGGCGCAGCATCTGTAGGTGGGGTGGCTCACTCTATTGTATGTAGTTCAGAACAATGCCCAAGCTGGAGTCTTTATTATTTATCAAAATAAAAAGACTTTGAAGCCACTGGATGGCAATGATGAAGAAAGAAGCCACCGTTTTGGAAACAGTCTTTTTAGAAACATAAGAAAAGCCACTGTGGGGTTGGAGAGATGGCTCAACAGTTAAGAGTGAGCACTGGCTACACTTGCAGAAGTCCTAAATTCAGTTCCCAGCATTCATATGATGGCTCACAAACATCTGTGACTACAACTCCAGAGGACCTAGCGCCCTCTTCTGGCCTCTGTGGGCACTGCATACATATGGTACACAGATATACATGCAGGCAAACATTCAAACATGTAAAATAACACTAATTCTTTTTCTTGTTTTGTTTTGACTTGGTTTTTCTTTTTTTATTGATTTTATTGAGTCTACATTTTTCTCTTGATTTTGTTTTTCACACACACAGGGTTTCTCTGTGTTATCCCTGACTGTCCTGGAACTCTTTCTGTAGGCCAGGCTGGCCTCGAACTCACAAAGATCTTGTTTGACACTAACTCCTGGGTGTTGTTAAAGGTGTGTGCCACAATGGCCAAGCAATAAAATTATTTTTTTTAAAAAGCCATTGATTGGGAGTACTATTCAGAAGCATCAAGACTGAGATTCTCAGAAAAATATCAAGAAATTTATTTGGAAGTAATCATCTGTTTTTAAAAAATATTAGTTTATTTTTATTTTACGTATGTATACTTACATATATATGTATACACACACACACATATAACACACAGCACATGTGTGGGGAAGTGACTGAGGGTTTTGGGTCTCTGGGACTGGAGGTGCAGATGGTGGTAAAGTCATCTGATGAAGGTGCTGATTCTGAACCCTAGTTCTTCTCTGCAAGAGCAGCCAGGGCTCTTAACTGCTGAGCCATCTCTCCAGTCCCAAACAATTATTTCTTATAATGCATATTAAACTCAGCTTTCCTTTCCTCAAAAGGAACTTGAGCACTTAAAGTACAAAATGAAGATGCTTCACAACACAGTACAAAGTAGTTGGTGTGGGGTGTGTTTAAAATAATCCTATAAAAAAGCAACAACAATAAATCCTAAAGGAGCCACTGAAATAATAGCAGAATGAGAGGAACAGATTCATCTGGGTTTCTCCTTGTTCCCTCCCTCAAGTCCCTGCTCCCACGGGTCCCAAGTATAATTACGCAGGCCTCCGCAGACTCACAGATCAATGCCTTGGAACTGGGCACTGATCACACACCTTATGCCTGCAGACGTTAAATCAAGGCCCGGTGACACACTTGGAGACTGTTTGCAGGCTGCCGTGGTGAGGACAAGGAATTATGGGAAATTTAAAGGCAGGTAAACCTGAGTTTGGAACCAACTTTACCTTTTACCTTTGGCAAACTTAGGTTTGCATTTCAGTCCCAGAACTTAATGCCTGCAGTACATTAAGAATGCTAGTTCGATTCTCGATTCTCCACCTCCGTGTCTTCACCTATGGGTTAATATAAACAACGGTTAATTTCTTTCTTTCTTTTTTTTTTTTTTTTGGTTTTTCGAGACAGGGTTTCTCTGTGGCTTTGGAGCCTGTCCTGGAACTAGCTCTGTAGACCAGGCTGGTCTCGAACTCACAGAGATCCGCCTGCCTCTGCCTCCCGAGTGCTGGGATTAAAGGCGTGTGCCACCATCACCCAGCTAACGGTTAATTTCTTGACGTTGTCTTGGGGAAGGAAACACTATATGATAAATACCTGACACAATGTTGCCATGTAATAAACCCTCTTTTATTGATGCTGAGAGACCAGCTCAGACGTTTCTGGTGCCTGCTCATGAGGGCACAAAGATGCCAAGGTAAGACCAAGAGTTGAAGCCTGGTTCTTTTGCCCGGTGAGACTAGAAAAGTCACTTGAAATCTTTGAACCCGGAAGGTTTGGTTTTCATTCATTAATTCAGCCTCAAAGAGCTCCTTCAAGTTCAATATGATCCCTTTGTACGCTCGTCAGTTCCCAGAACACACTTTGTAAATGCCGTTCTGTAGACGGCTCTGTGCTGGGCACTCACAGAGATGAATAAGCCATGATCTCCCCACTAGAAATGCCTCTGGTCTAGTAAAGA